TGCTCCAGCTCATTTTACAGGTGAGGAACTGAGGTAAACAGGGTTGACTTGTCCAGTTACACATCTAATAAGTGTCTGAGGCTGGATTTTAACTCGGATCTTCCTGACTCCAGGCCTAGCACTCTATCTACTGTGACACTTAACTGCTTCCAGTAGGTGCTTAATAAATTTTTATTTGTTGATTAGGATTAATGGGAAGGAAAAGAAAGGGAAGGAATGGAAGGGAAAGGAAGAAAAGGGAAGAGAAAGGAAGAGCACAAGCATACATATAAAACCTACTATGTGGCAGGCACTGTGCTAAGTGCTTTTTAGAAATATTATCTCATTTGATCCTCACAACATCTCTGGGAGGTACATACTGTTATTATCTCCATTTTACAGATGACAAAACTGAGGCAGAAGTTAAGTAACTTGACCAGTGTCACATGACTGGTATATTTCTGAATCAAATTTCAATTTCAGATGTTCCTGACTTTATGTTCACCACTTTTATCCAACATATCACATAGTTGCTTTTGTTTAGAAGCAAAATATTTGGTAACTAAGATGTTAGAAGAAAGAGTAAAGAAAGGACAAAATGTATATAGGATTTGATCAAGAGAGAGAGACAGAGAAAATTTCTCTGTATATGCATGTGTTAGAAACCCTGCTCTTTGCATAAACATTATTATAGCAAAGCAATTTAGTTTTCTCCATGGATAACAAAACATGCAACTAAAGGGATAAAGACAATTTGTTTTCTTTATTTTGTCAGACATTAGCTCAAGCCAAGAGGCTTCTCAATCATGTTGAAATTTTCCTAGGAACACTGATCCCTGAAGGTAGACATTTGTATTAGCATTCTCTACGTAGTCTGTTATTTGTATATAATGCCTGCATTTACTAAAAGGCCATTACATTGATGTTTCAGCTGTCATGCTCAATTTCTATGCATAGCCCTTATGGAAATGAGCAAAAGAATCTACTTTTTCTGGCTATGGTCTCAAACAGAACCCATCATAGAAACTGATCAAGAAAAATCATTTCAGAAGAAACTTCCATTAATATACAATATGTGTTTTCATCATTTTAATGTCAGCCTCCATGATTTATAGAGGAAACAGTGCTTTTCCGAGGGTTAGCCAAGAACCAATTATCTCTCATACTATTCTTGTTCTTCACTTCTAAATTTGTCAAACTGAGGAAACACATGTCATACCTTGTGAATGTCAGATGATAATAAGAGCCTTTAATGGTCTACGAAGTAACCCTGTTGTCTCTTGTTCTTAGAATTTTTATTTTCTAGTAATTTATAGAAACCTCTTCTTTTAAATTTCATAAGTATCATGTGGCTAAAGAAGCAAAAAAATTATCTTCTCTTCATTTTCAAAACTCAAAATCTCTTCTTGCAGAAAGACCCGTACGTCACTGTCCCAAGAATTTTAACGTGAGATATTTTCACATTTATAGTATTTTCTCATGTATCCAGCTTCTTCAGTATATATATTTGGTTGTTCTCTTTGCCTTATGACCTTCCCAGCCCCTTCTCTTCAAAAATCTGGAAAAGTATAAGCTTGAACTAGATAATTTTTAAATTGTGGATCCCTCCCAGTTCTAACATCCTATGAATCTTTGGACACAACCAGTCTGTGAGTACAACATGCATTTACATTACTGAGTGGCTGGAAAATTCTCACTGTGCCACCTGATGCACTGCTACATTGTATTATATTTATACGTGCAGAAAAGGCTCTCCAAACTAGCCAGGTTTTCTTATATCTCTATTAAGTGTTTTCTCAAGAGATTGAGATAAGGAATGTTGGGCTATGAGATTCATAGCCTTTTGCCGTCCAAACAACTCAGAATAATAGTTAGGCGGTATAGTTCCCATTAGAACAACCAAAATAGCAAACTTCAAATATTATGAAGTTAATTAACAAAATAATTACAATAAATCTCTCTGGCCACTGTTATTTCATTTTAAAATTACTTAACTTAACAAATGATTAATGAAGACTTCTACTGTGCTAGTTGCTGAGAGGAGATGCAAAGGTGAAATCTCTCCCTCAGGGTTCCAGGGATTTGAGTACTAAATCCCTCCAAGTTTGAGCATTCTCTATTGCTTTTGCCTCAAGCTCCCATTCCAGTATGTTTTCTCCACTGTTAGCTGCCATTAAAATATTTCCCTGTTCCATTAGGTTGTATTACAAAAGAATGTTTCCTTTGCAGGTGTAGGAAGGAAGGAAGGAAGACTTGGAGATGCAATCTTACTATTTCCCATGGTCCTTGGCGAGACTGAGATCAGACTTAACACAGGTTCTAGTTAGCATTGGTTTCACCAAGTTCATAGAAAAATGTGGCATAGCTAAAAGAATTGCCATTTCAGCTGCCATAAGGTTGAATCCGAAAGATTGTTTCTCAGGACTTTGATGATGAACTGGCTGGCCACAAAACTCAGCATGGATGTCATTCATAAAACCCTGGTGGCTTGCTCTCCAGACCTTTTGAATCTCACAAGGTTACTGCCATCTCTAACTTTCTTCACTTAAAGCAGGAAGAATAGACACAATAGCAACAGAGGTACCATACACTTATGGACCATATTATTACAACCCTGGTGAAAACAGACTATTGCCACTCTTCCTTCTGAATGTAGAGTCCTTTACTCCTCACTTGAATACATCAGGCAGGAAAAAGTCAGATCAAGGAACAATTCCTTGCTGACTAGAGCCTTTTGAATTCACCCCAGTTTCAGCCCCGTTATTAATCCAAAAGGCTCCTCTTTACCTTGTCAGTAGCAGACCAGAACCATGAAATGTATGTGCATGCTTCCTAATCCACATGGTGATTGCCCTGAAGGGGTACTCTCTGCATGCTCATAAGGACTAGATTTACTGGCCACTCTCCTGTTATACACTGTTTCATTGCTTCTGTGATCTCATCAATGTGGACACTACCTCCTCTACTACAGAGTCCTTCCATGCTGTTTCAGCCTGAAAAACTCTGGTCCACATCCTCCCTTAATCTTCCAAAAACATTAGAGGCCTTCCTATAGATCTCCTAGGCACATATACAAAGCCATACAATGCAAAATATAATGTAATAAATAAATAAAGGTACAAAATAGAATTCTGTGAGTTCTGAGAAGAGTGATTACTCTTGTGTGAGTAAGTAGCAAAGGGGAAATATTGATTATAGATTTACTCTTTTTAAATGGTTGACAATAAAAGGAAAGAATGATGGAATGGTCCCTTGAAGAGGTAAAAGTGTCAAGTTAAGGAATTTCAGAAATGGGGAAACCTCAATGTTTGGAGGCAGAAAAGAAAGAGAAAAGATCCAGGGGAAGGAGAGAAAATGAAAATGAAAAGGGGGGAAGGGGGCAGCGAGCAGTAATTGATGCAGAAAAATCCTCAAGGAAGCAGGAAGAAATAGGGTGAAGGGCGTGGGCAGATGAATTATTTCTGGTAAAGAGAAAGGTTCCTTGTTGTTTGTTTTACTGAGATGGAAAAGAAAAAAGGATGAGTGAAATTGTAGAAATGTTTTTTAGAGGAAGTATGTTACAGTTAAAAGGATACTGGATTTGATTTCAGTTTCTGACTCTGTTACTCAGTATCCATATGAGCTGAGGTAAGTCATTTAACCTCACTAGGCCTCCTTTTCTCCATCTGTAACCTAAAGACGAAGATGTTGGCTTATCTCTAAGGTTCCTTTTGCTTTTGTAACCTATGATCCTATGAAATGTTGAAGAGGAGAACAGAGGATAGTTTAGGTTGGAAGACTTTCTTGATGATTTAGGGAGCTGTATTTGGGGGCTACAAGCACTTAAAAATATTAAGAATGATCATTGTGGGTAATGTAGCAGGGGTTTGATCAGAGATGAATGACAGGATTACTAACTGAGGCATAGATATGGTCAAATAGCATAAACTTGGAGATAAATGCAGATAAATCAGTATGATTGCATTACCTTTCTCAATATAGGAGCATTGGATTCAGATTGGTAAGGCATGTATGTCAGAAGTTGAGGGAAAAACAAGGTGAGGACAGAGAATCTAGGAGGAAAGTAAGAACATCATTAAAATGGCCAATCATACCCATGCATCCAAAATGGGTAGGAAGGCAACTGAACTCATAGAGAAAAGAGAAAAGTCAAGGAATAGTAGATTGGAATGAGGGCAAATCTGTTCTCCGGACTTGAAAGAATGAATTATGTGGAGGGAAAGGAGTTTTTCATCAGAGAAGAATGTCACAGATTAAGGGAGAAGTATAGTATGTATGTAAATTGTAATTCCTGTGTTATTCACGAAATATGAAATTTATTCAGAAATGTGTTTCACATCAATCAACCAGAATTAACTCTGTAATCTGCAAAAGATCTTCCATGCAGTGAAAGATTTTTAAAATATCTACCAAGTAAGATTTTCCTTATTTTAACAAAAAGGTCTCCCAATGTATCTTTTGAGGTGTTTGTAGGTAATAAATAGGAATTTTATGTTTCTGACCAACCCATTTAAAAATTTAGCTACTTAACCTCACTTAGGGTGTATAAAAGATACTGATGAAGGAGACTGGATTAATATATTCATCTATGTTGAGTTTTATCACCAATCATTTCCTCTTACCTTCCTTACACTCTGTCCAAATAGAAGAATTGTGGTGACCCAAACATGACCTCCACTTACTTTCCCATTGTGCCCTTGCTCATATTATTCCCTCCTCCTACATTACCCTTGACCTCTAGGCTTCACCTCTTAAAATTCAAGGTCCAACTGGAATTCTATCTCCTTTATAAAACTTTGCCAGGTTCCCCAAGTCAGAAGTATTCTTGTCCTCCCCCATAGATATGTCAAATGAATAAAATGAATGAATGAATCAGTACATGGACTTATGTCCTCCCACCCTTCTTTGAGCTTAATCAATCTGCCAGTTATAATCATAATAAACTTTGAAATCATTGCCTTGATTACATGAACAGAATGAGGAGAATGAGGTGGATTATTGCCTTTTTTTATTTCTTCCAGGTGGTGTGTTCTCAGTGCCTGTGTCTGAGTCATATCATTGATCTTTCATTTATTTTCTCTGATCCTCACCATCCATCTCCATCAAGAGCAAAGGAGGAAAGATCAAAGAAGGTTAATATTAGTGTGCATGCTATGTGCTAATCGAAATTAAATTGCTTTCACAAACCTTTTTCCCCTGATCCATTGCACAAATGCCTTAACATAAAGCTAAACATCTGTTGAGTATGGATGTCCTCTGAAATGGGTGATACATGATTATAAAACAGTTCAGGTTGCTTCTATGAAAGAAGCAGTATTACACGTAGTGCATTAAATGATGAAATTGGAGCTTAGAGATCTGAACTGGTATATTCTGGCTCTGTCACTTACTGGCGGTGTGGCCTCAGGGAAATTAGTAATAATTAGTAATAATAGCAATGATCTATAATAATAACCCATGTTTATATAGCATTTCGTGATTCACAAATTGGTTTTGAATGCATCTTCTCATTTGATCTTTACAATAACTCTGTGGGGTCAGTGGTACAAGTATTATTATATACCTATTTGGTAGGTATAGAATCTGAGATTTGGAGAGGCAGTCATTTTTCCAAGGTCACATGGTTAGTAAGTGGCAGAACTTGGTGAACTCCTGTTCCTCCGACTCAGTCATTCATTCAGTAAATATTTGTTGATATTCTGCTATGTGTGAGGCTTTTGCTAGATGCTGCAAATATAATGTGCATTTCCTGCCCTCATGGAATATACATTCTACTGACTCTGTGTCTAGTGCTTTTTTTTGTTTCCAATCCCCCCCCCAAAAAAAAACCTCTACCTTATGCTGAACTTCAGTTTCTTCATATGTATAATGGGGATAAGAATATTTGCATAACAACCACTGGGTTATTATAAATAGAAAATTAGGTAATGGAAGTAAAAAATTTGGTAAAACAGTGAAGCTCTATTGACTCTAAAACTAAACTTTCATTATACTTGACACTGCCTCACCATGGGATTACTTCTGACTCCCCTCAGGAGTCTCATTTAAGATTTACCTTAGGCCACATTCTACTCTATAGTAAAAAGTGGTATGTTAAGACTGATAAATCCACCTGCTCTTGTGATTCCTTGCTCTACCCGTTTTAAATAGACCGCAGATAAATTTTCATTTTGCTGGAGAGACTAGTCTGCACAGCAATAGCTGAGAAGTCACTTTTTATCTATATGCAAATGGGCAGAATTCCTTTAACAACCTAGGAAATGCCGCTTTTCCAAATGAGATAGAGTTATATTCACTTTCAGGGAGGTTTCAAAGTGAATGCTAGAAAGATGCATACATGCATGCATGCAAGTGTGTGTTGCATATATAACATATATATATATATATACACTACATATGTGTATAGATGAGTATATGTCTATATTATATATGCATATGGGTATATATGTAGATAAATAATCATGTAAATGTTATGCACACATATTGAGTATATTTGGTTAGCCATAAGTATAGGAAAAATTAAATGCAGGCTTTATTCTTGGAATACTTTTTTTTTAATGTCATTTTTGGTAGATATTTCAAAACTGCCTTTAAAATTTTTTAAGTATATTTTATGTTTTTAAAAAATTTATTTATTTTTAGTTCTCAACATTTACTTCCACAAGATTTTGAGTTCCAAATTTTCACCACATCTCACCCCTCCCCCCACTTCAAGATGGCATGCGTTCTGAATACCCCTTCCCTAGTCTACCTTCCCTTCTATCTCTCCCTCCCCCTTCTCTTATCCCCTTCCCCTTCTGTTTTCCTGTAAGGCAGGATAGATTTCTGTACCCCATTTCCTGTATTTCTTATTTCCCAGTTGCATGTGGAAACATTTTTTTTAAACATGTGTTTTAAAACATTGGTTTCCAAATTTTCTCCCTTCCTCCCTCCCCACCCACCTTCATTGAAAAGGCAAGCAACTAAATATAGGTTATACATGTGCAGTTATGCAAAACACTTCCACAGTAGACATGCTGTGAAAAACTAACTCTATTTCCCTTAATCCTATCCTGCCCCGCCATTTATTCGATTCTTTCTTTTGACTCTGTCCCTCCTCAGAAGTATTTGTTTCTGATTACCCTCTTTCCCAATCTTCTCTCCTCTCTATCATCCCCCTACTCACTTGTCCCCTTCCCCCCCTATTTTCCTGTAGGGTAAGACAGGTTTCCATACCGAATTGAGTGTGTATATTATTCCCTCCTTAAGTCAAATCCTATGAGAATAAGATTCACTCACTCCCTCCCACCTTCCCCTGTTTCCCCTCTACTGTAAGATCCTTTTCTTTTCTGGGTTTGTTTTTTTTTTGTGAGATAATTTACCCTATTCTACCTCTCTCTTTCTCCTTCTCCTAGTATAATCCTCTCTCACCCCTTAATTTTATTCTCCAGATCAACTCACCCTGTGCCCTCTATTTATCTATCTGTCCATCTATCTATCTATCTATACACACATACATATATTTTTTTCCCTCCAACTACCCTAATACTGAGAAAGGTCTCATGAGTTACAAATATCTTCTTTCCATGCAAGAATGTAAACAGTTTAACCTTAATAAGTCTCTTATGATTTCTCTTTCCTGTTTACCTCTTCATGTTCCACTTGAGTCTTGTATTAGAAAGTCAAACTTTCTATTCAGCTCTGATCTTTTCATCAAGAATGTTTGAAAGTCCTCTATTTCACTGAATGACCATTTTTTCCCCTGAAGGATTATACTCAGTTTTGCTGGGAAGGTGATTCTTGGTTGTAGTCCTATCTCCTTTGGCCTCTGGAATATTATATTCCATGCCCTGCAGTCCCTTAATGTAGAAGCTGCTAAATCTTGCGTTATCCTGATTGTGTTTCCACAATACTTGAATTGTTTCTTCCTGGCTGCTTGTAATATTTTCTCCTTGACCTGGGAACTCTGGAATTTGACTACAATATTCATAGGAGTTTTCCTTTAGGGATATCTTTCAGGAAGAAATCAGTGGATTCTTTCAATTTCCATTTTGCCCTCTGGTTCTAAAACATCAGGGCAGCTCTCCTGGATAATTTCTTGAAAGATGATGTTTAGGCTCTTTTTATGATCATGGCTTTCAGATTATCCAATAATTTCTAAATTCTCTCTCCTGGATCTATTTTCTAGGTCAGTTGTTTTTCCAATGAGATATTTCACATTGTTTTCTAATTTTTCATTCTTTTGGATTTGTTTTACAGTGTCTTGATTTCTCATAAAGTAACTAGCTTCCAATTGCTCTGTTCTAATTTTTAAGGAAGTATTTTCTTCAGTAATCATTTGGACTTCCTTTTCCATTTGGCCAGTTTTGCTTTTTAGGGCATTCTTCTCCTCATTGGCTTTTTGGACCTCTTTTGCCATTTGGGTTAGGCTATTTTTTAAGGTGTTATTTTCTTCAGTATTTTTTGGGTCTCCTTTAGCAAGCTGTTGACTTGTTTTTCATGATTTTCTTGCATCACTCTCAGTTTTTCCTCTACATCTCTTACTTGCTTCTCAAAATCGCTTTGATTTGGCTCTTCCAAGGCCTGGGACTGATTCATATTTTTCTTGGAGGCTTTGGATGTAGGAGCTTTGACTTTGTTGTCTTCTTCTGGTTGTATGTTTTGATCTTCTTTGTCACCAAAGTAAGATAAGATAGTCTGACTCTTTTTGCGCTGCTTACTCATGATCCCAGCCAATTACTTGAGTTTTAAACTTTTTATTAAGGTAAGAGTCTGTTTCCAATGTGGAAAACATACTGTCCCACACTTTGGGGCTTTATACAGTTGTTTTCAGAGAAACTTCTAGGGACCTGTAAATTTTCAGTTCTTCCAAGGTGCTGTGATAAGGGGAAGGTGTTTCCTCTCCACCACCACCACAAGTTCTACCACACCAGCATTCCTCCTTGCCCCAGAACCGGCCCTCAAAACTTTGACCCAGATCCAAGCACGGGCAAAGCAAGAGATTCCTGCCTCAGCACTGGCAAAGAGATTCCTGCAATCCCCCTCTGATCAGCCACTCGATTACCCCTCAGTCTGTGGGCCGGAAACTCAGAAGGCAGTTGCTGCCCCTGGGGTGGCCGAGACCTAGCTTCTACCTCTCACTGCAGTCACAGACTTTTCCCACTGACCTTCTAAATTGTCTTTGGCCCTCGTGGGTTGAGAAGTCTGGAAACCGCCACAGCTGCCTGCGATTCAGTACTCTGAGGCCTGCTCCAGGATTTCTGTGGCCTGTGTGCCCCAGCCACACTGCGCTCCTCTCTCCACCTTGTGCGATATGCCTTTCAGATCAGCCATCCATGTCTTGGGCTAGAAATTTGTTTCCCTCTGTCTTTTTGTGAGTTCTGCTGCTTTAGAATTTGTTTAGAGCCTTTTTTTTACAGGTATTTGGAGGGGTTTGGGGGAGGGCTCAAGCAAGTCGCTGCTTTCACTCAGCCATCTTGTATCTGCCCCCCTCTAAGTACATTTTAAAATTATATACTTTAAGGGTTTTTTTTTGGAATCTGCAGGTTTCTTAGCTCTAGCAACAAAAGTAAACATCAAGAGTGAAACTCTTGCATGCTAAAGTGGGTCAAGGATATTAGGTAATGAGGCCTTTGCTATATCTAACCTGGTAATATCTAGTGCTTACTTTGCCTTTGTAAATAAAAATAAGCATAGTCTGCATATTTTTCCCCTTAAAAACAAACACTCACACATAAGCAAAAATCACAGCCATATGGACCTTTTGGTAAATGGTGATTGCAAATGTTGCTTCAGAGTCATGTAAATGGAAAGACCCACTTACCTTGTGGTAACTTAGAATTTTAGCTCTTTTCCTAGTAAATACATGTTCACTACATAGTATTAGTTAGTATTCCTATGATATTTTAAGGATTATAAAGAGCTTTATATGTGTTATCTCATTTGGTCCTCACAATAACTCAGTGAAGTAGGTGCCCTCATCATCCCCATTTTACAGATAAGGAAACTGAAGCCTAAAGGGCTTATTGACTTACAGGAGTCATTGGAGTTCATAAGTGTCTGACTCAGGATTTGAACTCAGGTCATCCTAACTTCAAGTTCAGATCTTAATGAACCACCTAACTGCCTATGTCAATTATATTATGTCTATTTC